CTTCGAGACCCGATCTCCTCCGCTCCTTTCCCTCCCGTGCCGCCGATATCTTTTTCTCTCTTTCCCCGTATACATGTTTTATCGAGAATATAATATGCCTTCCTTCGCCTGTGTGTTTGTGTATTATATATATATATATATCAAAAATTTATTTGATTTTTCTTGTGACGGGAGAGTTTTTGTTTGACACTTGTTCGAGTCTGTTTGCGTTAAAAGTATGAGAAATTAAGCGTGTATATTTGCGATTCTTGCGACTAGTATAAAAACAGTATAAAAAATGTGACTGATCGAGTCATATTATTATAATCAGATGTTAATATTACGCGGAACGATTTATAGAAAGTAGCTTGAAGCTTGAAGCTATATAATATTATTAACATCTTAATGACAGAATGACTCGCGATGAGTATTAAGTGCAACTAAATGCAATGTAAAAATAAATGACGAATTAGAGAAAGATTGACGCTTTAAAGAACGATGCTTTATTCGATTCGTATCTTCTTCGACGTTATCAGTGCCCTGAAGGCAAATTGCAACGGATCGATTAAAACGAGAGAACTCAATCTCTTTAGCCTCCTTCACCTACAGAAATATAGACAGTGGGATTATAGGATATTACGAAATTTGAAAAGGGCGAGTCTAGAACCGGCTTGTAGGGTTAAATGCGATTCCGAAGGACCGGCAGATAAGAGAGGGTTTATTTCATCTCCGTCTTGGGTGCCTGAAGGGTTTCGACATCTGCGACGTCGATTCGCGCACGATGCATCGATTGCCCGCGGCGTGGCAATTAAGTAATTAAACAAATCTGTCGAAGGTGTTACGAATGAGTCTGTGCACGCCTCGCGATCTCTCGTACCGCACGAAGGTAGTAAAGATGCATTGCCAAAGACACATGATCTATATTACTCGAAAGTTGAAGTCGGATTCGCGTATATAATTATTACAAAAACTCGATTATAATAATAAGCATAAAGGACCAACGAAATTCTGCATGGTGCCTTTTATTTGCAAATTAAAAGGCGTTGAAAAAAATTAAATAATTATCATCTTCAAAATATGTATAATCTTATTATTTGCGATTACACTATTTTAGAAAATTAATAAGGTACGATGGGAGAGAGAGAGAGATGTTTTTTCTGAATTTAGAAGCAGATTAAAACGCGGGCACGAATCTCATTTGAGGGAAAAGCAAATCGCATGCGTTACGATGTTGTGATTCGGGCCGACAATCTCGTTGGTACGCAATCGACCTTACTACGAACATTAACATCCAGTCCGATCCCGAGTTTAATCAAACGCTAACCGGCGAAGATTTAATCTACCGCAGACTCCCTCGAGAGAGATATATATATATCCCCTCCTTCTCTCTCTCCCTCTCTTTCTCATCTCTTATTCCGCGTCCCGTGTATATCTCATTCTCCTCTCTTGCACATCCTTCTCTCTGTCTCGGGTAAGTAATATAATCACAACATCGGCGGGGTGGCGTCGTTATTTACAGGCACTCCATTTGCGGTGGTGAACGTCGGCCAACGAGGTCGATCGTGGCGACGATATTGACTCCAACCACGATTAGGGGATAGCCTATATATATATATATGCGCGAGAGTCGTCGGGGTTACACGCTCCCTTAATGCGCCTCGGGGTTTAGATCTCGCTTCTAATGCGATTCGGAAGCGATATCGTTCGTGCCTTTACAAGAGGAAAGTATAATTGATAATAAAGAAATATAAATAAAAAAGAAGTCATTCGCATCTTTCCGTTCTCGCAGGCATACAGATGCCGATTTAATCGTTAATCGATTTCTTAGAACTTATCTAAGAGAAAATATGCTAGCTGTCAAACTTAGCGCGAGAAGTTGGAAAAATCGGCCCTTAATTCGCGGGATAGAAAGCTTTAAGCTACCGGAAGAGGACGATATTATCGTTCGTGCCTTTACAAGAGGAAAGTATAATTGATAATAAATAAATATAAATAAAAAAGAAGTCATTCGCTTTCCGTTCTCGCAGGCATACCGATGCCGATTTAATCGTTAATCGATTTCTTAGAACTTATCTAAGAGAAAATATGCTAGCTGTCAAACTTAGCGCGAGAAGTTGGAAAAATCGGCCCTTAATTCGCGGGATAGAAAGCTTTAAGCCACCGGAAGAGGACGATATTATCGTTCGTGCCTTTACAAGAGGAAAGTATAATTGATAATAAAGAAATATAAATAAAAAAGAAGTCATTCGCTTTCCGTTCTCGCAGGCATACAAATGCCGATTTAATCGTTAATCGATTTCTTAGAACTTATCTAAGAAAAATATGCTAGCTGTCAAACTTAGCGCGAGAAGTTGCAAAAATCGGCCCTTAATTCGCGGGATAGAAAGCTTTAAGCCAGCGGAAGAGGACGATATCATCGAGCTCATCCCGATTGAGTCGTTCATCCAAACAATCTCTGATCTGTGGTAGCCTCGCGGCGAAGAGGACAGTTCCTTTGTCGCTTCGCTGGGATCGATGGGAGCGACCACCATCGACACGTACTCGGCAATTAAGCAATTAAAACGTCGCGCTCGACTATCTCCCGATCCATCGACGATTTCGATGGACGATAATAATCGATGAATATCATCTCGACGTGCTCGATTCGAGCGCATTAGAAGCGCTAAAGTATCACGAAACTAGACTCGATCTATCTGTATATACGATATATGTCGCGACATCGCCTGTAGCAGCTGATAGATCTCCCTCTCCGTAATCGTTAAATAATAAATCGAAATATCTCTCGTTTTTACGGTGGACGTAGATAATCCCATCGCGACTATAATCCCGTAGACTTGAATTATATAAACGCTCGGACGCGCGCAACATAATATGCAACGGTATATAATACGTACTACTGTAATTCAATGTTCGTGATGTCGCTAGGACGGGAGGGAAAGAGGCGGTCGATATCACGACGGATGTCGCTCCTCGAAGCGCGATAGGCTGTACGATTCGTCGGCTCGAATCGCGGAGGGTACGATCTTAATTCTAGTAATCTTCGCGTCAGAGCTGCTTCCGATATACCGCTGATGCTGGATGCGAGAGGATCCCCGATAGACGTAAGAGGCCGATCTAAGCGAGTGCACCGAATAATAACACACGGGAGCGAGAGGGAGCAGAAGAGGTGCGCGCCCCGTTGCGCTTGTAAGACACCCGGTAGGGGCGAGAGATGCAGAGAGAGAGAGAGAGAGAGAGAGAAAGAAACGAGGAGGAGGAGGAGAGATTCGATAATTACTACCGGGAGTCGTGGAGGCGGCCCGCGGAATCCTCCTCCCGCAACGAGCGCAAACGCGCAATTATTCCCCATCGCCATCCGACGCCGGGATCTCCGATTCCGCGTTCCCTGTTCCGATACAACGTTATACAACCGCGCGCGCGCGCGGATGCCGCCCCGAAGAGGCTCCCGGTGTTCGATCGTAATGCGCGCCCCCGATATTATCTCCCTCGCTCGCTCTCGGATTTCCCGTGCGCGTGTCGACGCGAAAATGAAAAATCGCGTCAAAGCGAGCGAAAAGCTCGTTCTTTTTTTTTTTTTTTTTGCCTCGTGTTTATAGAATATACTTATCGTGTATGGTATTATTATTTTATACATCTACCTGCAGTCGTTTGCTCTCCTGTTGTGAATAAGCTCTGAAAATTATTTACGTATTTAAAAAAATTAAATATAAAAAAATGAAGAAAAAAAAATAAGAAATTTAAAATTACAAATAAGAAATAAAAACATTTTAATTACGCTTCTCTATTGGGAAAAATCATGCCTGCAACTGAACAAACCCTCCCTCTCGTGAAAAATTAAAATGAGACTTTACTTTGACAGGGAACTTTGAAATATTTCTCTCATAGATCTTAAATTTTTCTTAGAAGGTAAAAATAGAGAGAATAGATTTATAGTCAGTCTTAAGATATTAGATATGAGATAAGAAATCGATCGCGTGTATGTACACAAATAATACAGATATGTGCCACGCGAAGATTGAGATCTCCTACGCTGATTCTTCGCTGAATATACATATATCTGATTGTAATAAACACGGTTTCTGGCGAGTGCGTCTTTTGATCCCTGCTAGATATGAGCATACAATGGCGCATGTATATGCGCAAACGTTGTTGGACTGTCGTGACGCGGGATCATAAAGAACGGACTCGTTCCGTCACCTTTACAAGACACGTACATATAACGTAATTTTATTTTACAAAATGCGCGTCCCTTTCATCTTTTCGCACTATCCTTCTTTCATCCGCGCGTCTCATACACGGCACAATTTCATTTCTTCTTTTTACGACAACCTTGCGCGTATTTCTGGCGGCGAAACTGTGGGAAGCTGCGTTGTCTCTCTGTGTCGTCTTTAAACGTCATGGACGGACGAACGTGGTCGTGATGGGCGTGGTAGCCCGGCATCCAGAGGGTCGCAGCAACGCATCGAGCGTGCGTTTATTTACGCACGTGTACACGCAGGCGCACGCGAATCGGAGTCGCCGATAATGGAACTCGATTAGAGAATTGAATTTTTAATCGTTCATACTTTTGCCCTACAATATTCGATAGTCTAGAAAAAAAGTATTAGCTCTCAAATAAATGTTAAGTATTCCTATGTTAGCTATGGTAACTAATATTTTTTTAATGGAGAAATGAAGAATTAAATCAAGACATGTGTATTTAACTAAGAGCAGATAATTCACGAAAACGTTTCATGACACATTAGATATCGAAAGAAAAATATATATAATCGTCGTTTTCACGAGACAAAGTACTACAAAAACCCTAAGAAAATCCCAAGATTTGCCGCCTTTTTAATCCTTGCTACTTCAGATCATCGCGACAGTCCAACAAGTCCCTAATCAATCGTAATTTTCAAAATTGAATGAATAATCAGGAACCACAAATAAAAGGTTCAAATTTGAAATGAAAATCGATCAAAGACATCTTGCTTGCGACACAAAAAGAAAGAAAAAAATATTGTAATTTTATACTGACTCACCGAAGATAAATTTCCTCGCCTTGCAGAATCGCCGCGATGTGTCTTATCTGCAACAAAGAAGAGAACATGATTTAAACACAATTTTTTTATCTTGTCCAAAGAGAAAGAGACTGTTTCTCACACAACAATATAAAACGGTTACGATGGTGCCAATAACAGATAAACGCGATATTGTGTCGGACAAAGCTATAGTGGCCGAAAAATCCTCCACGCGACGGCGCGCGAGGATCAAGATCGTTGTCGGATAAACGTCTTGACGGGTCGTAAAGGCCCACGTTATACCTGCGGGCCCACCTCCAGCTGGGTTGGGCGCGATCAGTGTTGTCGGACAACAGTGTATGTATATGCATTGTGCATGCATCGACATCGACAGCGACGCACAGGTGTCACGCGACACGTCTTATGTCTGTACAAATGTTACTGTGCCATCGGGGATGTCGAAAAATGCATTATAGTTTATACCAACATCCATTAGCCATTGTCTCGAAATTATGCCGCCGTGCATAAAAATATGTATACGCGTTTTATGTAACGGAACATTCCTAGTATATTATTTTAAAAGCATCGTATGTAGATACATAATGCAATTTTATTTATAATAGTATTTTTTATTAGAATTTTTTGTACTGTATTTTCATTAAAATAAAATATCCTTTTAATGAAAAATATCCTCCAAGTTTCATTTTTTCAATTTGCCTGGAATTTGAGAATAAAATAAAAACTTAATTTTTACCTCCCTCTTTAGAAAAGGGTAATTCCTCAGGGAGAGTTATAAGAGAATATATTTATATAAGAAATCCCTCTTAATTTTCGACAAAGAATCATTTAAAATTTTTCACACTTATTTAAATACACCTTATATATAATTTATATAATATATTCATGTGTTAGCATGTTGTGGGCTTTCTTTATAAAATTTTTATAACAAATAGTAAATGTTGTTATAAAATATGAAATAATTCGATGAATACAAGATTCGATATTTTTATAAAAAAGATATTATATAACACAACCTATCACTTACTACTATTTTCTTCGTCGACTATCTTTACTACGTATTATATGTTATCTCGACATGAATTCATTCAATTTTACTCGAGTAAATTTATCTGTCCGTTCGCGAGCGGTATAACACGAGCTCGACGATCATCGCCGCATTCCGCTACAGCTCGAGACACGTCGAGTTCGACTATCGATGACGTGACAAAATCTCGATGAGGCGCGCGCGTGTTCTCGAAATTTAAAAGAGTCCGACCACCCTGCGGCGCTCAACGACATCGCGCACCTCCGTGGTGTCAGTCGTATAAGTAATGACAATACGATGACTGGACGGCCGCTAAACACCTGCATTCACCGCGTTATCTCGCGGATCCCGCTGTTAGGATCAGGTTTTCGCTATCGTTATCCCTTTCTCCCCTGCGCGTGGTCCATATATGCTTGAACCCCCGGAGCGCTTTGGGTGGTCCCCATCGCCGATAATCTTGACGCGATTCTTGACGCCTCTCGCGCGTCGTTTTCCATCATCACGAATGGCTCTTAAATGCCAATCGATCGCCCGCGTCATTTCCCTACATAAAGTTTCTCTCTATTATACGTAGCCGAGTGATATCTAGCGGTGGATTTACGATTCCTTTTTCTCGCGCGGATTGCTTTCCATTAAATGATCGCGTGAACGTCCGGCAAGACGAGAAGTAGAGCCACGTAGATGGATTGACGTAACTTCCCGAGGCCCGTTGAATATTTATCGCTCGTACGCCTTGTTTGTACGCCGTTCCGCCTCGCTTGAATTTAAATACCCTTTCGTATACATATATCTCCGCTCGTGCGTTTTCCGTCTTCGCGAGCGACGATTCTTTAAGCTCGCGCTATATTATTTATAGAAACGAGAGACGAGATGAGTTCTCTCGTAAAAAGGAAAAATCGCGCGAAAGCGCAAAGCGTATTTCCAAAAGTCATCGCGTCAACGTCATCTCTTTGCTGCTATGTATAGAAGACGAGCGAATCGATCTTGTTTCTCCATGAACAGATTCGAAAGCATACATTATTATTATAATTTTTATATTTTTATTTATTAAAATTTTCTTTAAAAATTGATTATTCATATGGAGATGCTAGAATAAATTTCTTTAAAAAATACGTAAATATATATACATATATTTTACCTCTCATGTAATAAGAAAATGTGTGCAATAAACTCACAAAATATCTGTTCCATCACTTGATACATTATACTACCGCTCGCGCCTACACTATATATTATACAAAGCAACGCTACTCCTCGAGCAAACTGTTATCAAGGATCCTTTCTCGTTCACCCCGCATGATTGACATTAATTACCGGAACACAATCGGCGACTTATCTGATCCCCAGCTTGATTCTCGATGGCGAGATAGGACGCCCGAGAGAGTTCGCCGGGACGCGAAAACCAGGGACGGAGTCGGGAGAAGTCGCTCGCTTCTCAAAGGGGAAATCTCTCTCTCTCTCTCTTCCTCTTCCCTCCGTCGTCGGTCATCACCGCAAGGCGAGTTAGAGTGGCCGAGAGCGGCCCGCGAAACCTCGTCGAAGACGTTCGTCGAAGGGGATACCCGAGAGAGGCGAAGCGAGAGAGCCGGGGAGAGACGGAGAGAGTACATACACGCAAAACGGAGTTTCTTCTCCCGTGGGAAGGCGTGGTTGGTAGACGCGCGACGTCCATTTGTCTCGGGCGCCTCCCGCACCAGGAACGCCCTTGCATCCCACGGGCATCGATCACGTCTTCCTCTTACCGGGCGCATCGCATCGCGCCGCATCTCTCTCTCTCTCCCTCTATGTACATTTTACCCGTACATGCTCGCCTACACATATACCACCCTTGCACGACAACGTGCGCGAGCAACCCCTCCGTGCGATGGCAACGGCGTCGCCAACTTTTCAAAATAAAATTTCGGAGCACAACGCAGGAACAAGATTATATAATATTTCAGGGGCTGCATTAGACCGGGTATAGTACGCCAAAAAAAAGTTTGAAACTCGCAATAATATTAATGCAGATAATACCGATATTCTATATATACATATATATGTGTGTGTGTGTGTAGACGTTGGAGATGTATCGTTATGTCAGATTCACTGACCGCTCAACGTTGCTTTGTTCTACTCGTGGCTGACTACGCTCGAACTTTTTCCCCACTTTCCTCTCTAAAGTTCCTCTCTTTTACAAAAATCCGGTTTCCTAAGACGTAATAAAGTTATCGCGATAATAATACACGCGCCACATCTCTTGGCGAAGACGTATAGAAAGTTATGGGGTTTATACAATGTGATTAAAAATTTAATGACGCGCCGTTCCGGTCGATCACGACTGCGAGATTCTCGATCGATCGGAACGACGAGCTGTTAAACGATCTTTTTTTTTCTTACTGTGCTACGATTTATAAGAGGAACGCAAACTTTCACGAAAAATATAGAATTCTTATAATGGGGCGATATAATGATAAGTATATGAATGTGCGAAGCAATTAACGCATTTTCCTTCAAATCTATGTAGTCGCTCAAATTATGTCTCTTATATTGTGCAACGTCATTCTATAAAGCAATTTCTTTTTAAAGACATTTATTGAGCCTAAGTATTTCATATTGTTCTTACAATGTTTCACTGTTGAGATTATCGGATTATCGCGATTTGAAATCGTTAGCGTGTAATAAGTTGATTGTCTTTCACAACCGATTGCTCGAAGCTTGTCCTTTTGTTATTCTGTTGCAGCCGGTAAGTGTACACGATGCATCCTTTGCCGAGGCAAACGTGGATCGTGGAGCGTTGATCGCAGGATGGCTATCTGGTTACGCGCATGGCAACTTCCAAGTAAGATTACGTCTACTGCTATATGTAAATGTTGCACCGTAAAAAAATTCTAGAGAAACAGGCGGGATTTGCTGAGATTGCTAATTCGCGGGTTGCGTGGAAATCTTTCATTTCTCACAGGTGTTATATCCATAATTTCCTATCTTTTAAAAAAATAATATTAATCTTGTCATTTTCTTTACCTTATAAAAATCATAAAATTGCATTTTTCAATTTTTCGCGAAACGTAAACATTGAGTGAGTGCATAAAGACATATCAAAGCTATAAATATTCACGTGAAAATTTGCAGAATCTTTGCCGCGATGTCACGTTTTCGTTTCAGTTTCATAGCGAATAATATTGTTATTTTAAAGAAATTCTACGAAAGCGCCGATAATTCCTGATATTCTTACATTTTAATATTTAATTCCAATTTTTCACAAACAATATATTTATTAATCAATTAAAAAAATGTATGTGAATGTAAAAATGAAAAAGATTTACCAGACCAGTTTCCGTCAGAGTTTCGAAGTAAGATCATTTTTTATTCAATTCCGATTCAGTTGCAAAATTGAAAAAATATAATTTCGATATATTTAATATTTCGATATATTTAACAAAGAATAAAAAAAACCTTTGATGAAATATTTTGTTCTACCGAAACTTCTACTCAATATATTTAGATTTTTATTCAGAGAGCAACGCTACACTATTTACATCATTAATATTAATATCAATATTTCGCGATCGAGACTTTGGCGCTGAAAGGACACTTTTCAATCACCATTTTGTTCCGGGCGCGCGAAGAGAGAGAGATTTACATTTTTTTATTAGAAAGATTTTATTCCGTTTTGCACGATAACATTCCATTTTTGCCGAATCTACATTTCTCATATAACTGAATGTAAATTTTCGGCAAGAGGCGAAATAAGTAAATTCCATTCTCAGATTCTGTTTTTCGCGGCCCGGCTTTACGAAAGCCCTCTCGGGATACGAGCGACGCTATCGCAGTTCCTTAATTTTTGGTAAGCGGGTGACGGTAATTAACGGGTTGCTTCGTAACGCATGCCTACACGAGCAAAATATATGCGTCTCTCATCCACTCTCCTTCCTCGTTGCACGCGCGCGAGAAATGCATATACCGGTAACGCGCGGCGAGGCGAGGTGTTGCATATGCATGCCGTCGATCGATATGAATGCATCGTTGCATGCTAAACGGCTGCGG